GTGCGTGCGTGCGTGCGTGCGTGCGTGCGTGCGTGCGTGCGTGCGTGCGTGCGTGCGCGTGCGTGCGTGCGTGCGTGCGTGCGTGCGTGCGTGCGTGCGTGCGTGCGTGCGTGCGTGCGTGCGTGCGTGCGTGCGTGCGTGCGTGCGTGCGTGCGTGCGTGCGTGCGTGCGTGCGTGCGTGCGTGCGTGCGCGTGCGTGCGTGCGTGCGTGCGTGCGTGCGTGCGTGCGTGCGTGCGTGCGTGCGTGCGTGCGTGCGTGCGTGCGTGCGTGCGTGCGTGCGTGTGTGTGTGTGTGTGTGTGTGTGTGTGTGTGTGTGCTTGGGGTTTAGCATGAGAAAGCCATGTGCTGTTTCAAAATAGCCGAGTTCTCATTCAACTGCGGGGTTGACTCTTCTTTGTCAGGCTGCTGTTATGTGTCTGTGGGTTTGGGTGTTGGGCTTGGGGGTGCTGTCTGCAAGCTTTCTAACTTTTGGCGCTGCAGCACGAAGACACTGTTCTTTTCTCAAAGAAGCCCAGTTCAAATTGAACTGGCCTCGGACCTAGCCGCCGAGGCTGTCTTGCGGTAGCATTCAAAACGGGCGGGCTGATGCGAGATGTGCCGCTCCACCTGCCAAACGCGTTCTGTCGGACTTGCCATGCTCGCGTTCGGCACGACGAAGCTGACCGCAGATGTCCATTCAGTAGCCTATGCCTTCTCTCTGGTGCTGTGCTAGAGGAACTGGTGAAGGCCGCTCTCACTTCGCTCTTTAGGATCTACCTTTGCGCGCTGAGTATGTAGTGGGTTTTGCCTTGGACCTTGTGTCCACAAAAGGCTACGGGCCCACATCAATAATCCATTATGTGTATACATGTGTAGATATCTAAATTAATTGTTCATGAGTTTATGTTGGTTTTTGGTGCATGCAAAAATATGCATGCGTCTGAGCGGGTGTATGCGAAGCCTTCATATCTGACCGCGCAAGTGCCCACAAGAGCCAAGCCGCCCAAGCCAGTGCCCTGCATGATCTTCCCAGAGCGTTGCATCCGCTGCATCAAAGTTTCCACCTTCTCCTGACAAACTCGCCCGACTCTTCCACTGCTTCTGACCTCCACTTGAGCAGTTCGCGACAAGAAAAACTGACCCTTTTGCAGACTTGCGCGCCAGCAGGAATCCATCCACGCGCTTCCGTGCATGTGGTTCATCCTTTGCCTCGTCCATCCAAAAATGCTTTACAAGCTTTGCCTGTGAGTATTGGCGCAGAAAGGAAAGCAAGTTTAGTAAGCTTCCGCGAACCTTCCGCAAAAGAAATCCCTTCCGCAAAACCCTTCCGCAAGCTTCCGCATATGTGCCGCGGTGCACACGCTCAAGAATACGACCGCAATTGCGACCACGACCCACAACAACAAGAACACACGGCAGCATTTCAGAAGCATGAAACAAAGGCGGTAACAACTGACACAAGCAGCCGGAATAAGCTTGAAGAATACATCATTGTGCCCCTCTTGAGCAGCGCCCGCAAACCCATAGTTCTTGGCTTCACCAGCATGGCTACAAAGGTTTGCATTACTACAGGGCTTCCTAAGATAGTCAATAGGAGCCGATTGCGGGCGCTGTGTCGTATCATGCCACCCTTGGCAAGGCACGCACCTCTGAAAGATTAGGAAATCAAGGCTCTGCTCGCCAGATGCACACCGCTACGTGGATGGCCAACAACTGCAGCGTGCTTGGCTCGCCCAGCCAGCCTGCCACCACCCCAAATTGCAAGACATGCTTCCAAACGGAAACTCAAAGATGCTCAAACTTGAGGGACCTGATTACTCCGATCAGAATCTGGGCCTCCCTCTTCCGTACGCAGGCCAAAGGTAAAGCCCGCATAGAAGACGGCCGAAAGAGAGCTGCCAGCGTAGAGCACCTCCGTGTGCAGTGGCGTGAAAGGCCGCGTCTGAGTCCAGCCGAGCTCCCAGTGCTGCCAAGCAGCGAGAAGTGTTGGCAGCACTTGGTTCAGGTCACGAAAGACCATGGCGGGCATCCACATCTTAGACGCCTTGCCAAACAGCTCCAGTGCTTCCAACGACGACCACCAACAACCCGCACCCAACACCCAACGCAACCAATCAACAACCACCAACCACCAACCACCAACCACCAACCACCAACCACCACCACGACAACTTCATCATCATCAACAACAACAACGACATCAACGACAAGAGCAGCATCAGCAGCAACCTTTAAAGACTTCCGCAACTGTTAAATTGCAGCTGTCGTGCCCACGCCGAGCTAAGCCCAGTTCTCCGAGCCTGCGGCTCCTGACCGCGCTGCCAAGCCAAGGCAAGCAGCGCGGAGAGCAGCAAGGACACATCGACCTGGCGACGAGTCCACCTAATCCACCTAGCCCACCTAGCCCACCTTGCACGTGATTGTCACCGTCTCCAAGTCCGACCAAATTTTTGCATGCCAATTGTCCGAGTCCGGCCTTGCTCATGCTGCCATGGCTGAGACTTACCCGACAAGTCTAAGTTGCTGTGGAAGTGGAAGCTATTTGTTTTTCACGCTCTGCGGTCGTGTTTGCGGATTCACGACATTCGACAGACCCAAGGCTAAGTCAGCGTGGTCCAGCGCTTGCCGTGGTGCTGCAAACATGAGTTGCACGCATGCATGCGAATGTTGCCCTCCATGGGATAAGCAGCTGGTTTGTCCGGACTTCATGGTGTCACTTCTGTCCTCGTGCTGCAATCCCCAGCTGCGGTATGCGCGACTTCCAAGGATGACTGACACTCTCTCTGTGGAATCACAAGTGAGAGCCTCGAACTGTTGGCTTGACTCCCCAGCCAAGCAGCTCATCAGGACCCTCCGCTTTCCACGGTCTGCACCAAGAAAGGTGGGGATCGCCCGTTGTTTTGCAGAGTCCGTGTCCTCTCAAGTTTCATCTTATCCATGTGTCTTACACGTACACGTTTCTCACTAGGTTTGGCCATGTTCTGATGACTCGAGACCGCTCCCCGTCCTTCAGCTTCTGCAGCGCCCAGGCTTCTGCGCTGAAGGCGTGGCGGCCCTTGATCTCCTCGCAAGTGACGCGGCCTTACGACTTACCTCAGTTAAGATGGCTGTGCTGGATCCAATGGCGAATACATTCGAAACACTTTGAATCTGGCGATCGTCAACCGGATTCCCACGAGTTAAGCACTTTGCCCACCTTGAGCACTGCCTGACCTTGATCCGTGTCCACCAGGAAGCAGGACCCCTGCTTGCCTTGCAGGTGGGAAATCCAGAGACCTGTCTCTTTTGGTTTCGCATCTAGCAGAAGACAACCCGTCGCACGGCCAGCCTTTGCCAACCTGTCGAAGTCGTCCTGCGGGCAAACGCATCTCCTAGCAGGCCACGATTTCTAGTCGAGTTCACCCTGTTTTGCCCACGGGCCATCGGCAGTTCCAGAACCCCAGACTCATGCATTACCATGCAACGCCGTGCGCTTCCAAAACTCCTGATATTCTTGATCCTCCCCAGTCTCTGCGTCTGGCTGCGCCATTGTGTCGGCCGTGGCGCGGACCTTCTCGGGCGCCTCAGCCCGACGTGCCTCTCGCTCTCGCCGGCCACCTGGCAGGTCGCCAAACTCGCCGTCGTCCCAGCCGCCCGCACGCAGCAAGTCCTGAGAGAAGCCGCCAACAAAAATGAAAAAGCGGCCCAAAGCCACGCGAGACAAGGCGTGAAATCAGGACCTCACCTCGGTGATCCGAAGGCGCCGGTGATTGCCGAGGCCGTCAGCCTCCCATTTCAGCTTGTCGCGTTTCGTGCCGCGAACGAGGACATACTTGTACTCGATCCTTAGAGTCACCCGAGGCAAGTGGCCCAATGCAAAGATACGCCAAGGCGCTCTTGCCCAACTTCTACTTCCAAAGGTTCGCAAAGCTTCCACACCTGGATGCAGTTGAGCAAATGCTTGCCAATGATTCATGCTGACAAGCCGCAAGCAAGAACACTTGCAACCACGACGTATATTCGAGCGTCAAAGCCACGAATGCCATTGAGGGTGATTTACTTCGAACATGTTCCACCAGTCCAAACTAGGTCTGTTTAGCAAACACTGGCAGCTCAGTTGGCAATGCATCCGCAGCACAGGCCAGTAGTTCTCCCCGTTTTCGCCGAGGCAGCGCATCTCAAGCTTGTCACCTGGCATCTTCCCACGGTTCTCCAGTCTGGAATCCGGCTTTCGCCGAGGGCCGAAAGCAAAGGACTCTTCTTCTTCTTCCCATCTTCTTCTCTTTCCCCTCCCTCCCCTGACGGCCCCTGACCCCGGCTCTGGCCTCGCCAGCCGGGCAGCGGCGGAGCACCCGCCACGGCCAGGCCCTCCCCGGGCCGCGTGCGGTCGCAGCGCACCGAGAGCTGCAGCCGCCCGACCTTCGAAGCGTCTTTGAAGTTCCCAACTTGTCGCAGTCGTCGTTTTTGTTTGTTTTTTGTGTTCTGTCAAATCGGTTTTGACTTTACTAATTATACTGTTCATTGTAGAAAACATTGAGGTGATGTTCTTTTGACATGCTAGTGCCATGGGTTTCATGCTATAGTATGTCTGCATATGCGACGGTTGCTTGTTGCAAGCTTATGCCCCAATCTGTAGATGTGCTGCTCTTGCCAATTTGAATATTGGTGTGGTTTGTCTCGCATTTGAACTGAGAGATGCTGCGATATTCGTTCGATTTCGGTGGACACATCTTTGCTGGCGCAGGGGGAAGGCAACAATCCACTGCAAACCCTGTGCCTTGAATCTGACATATCTGAGCTGCTGACTTTGCCACTCTGATCCATTCCATGTCAAGGAGCGAAGCACGTCTAAATCGAGTTCCTCCATGAATGCCTTCTTAAGGTACAATACCCTAACGCTCGACCGTTGACTTCAACCCTGTCTGTTGTCGCCAGTTACTCTGAAATCACAAAGCTGGGGCCAAATGGCCGGCGACGGAACTTCACTCACATCTCCCCATCTCCCAGGTCGTACTCGAAGGAAACAAGCGACCCTCTCAGCCTCGCAGCACATCTGCTGGATGGGGATGACGCCTTGGCCGACTAAGCTGTAGACATTGTCAAATCTGTGCGCAAGACAGATTGACACGTTCCTGTCCCACACGGGCCCGCATGCGTCGCGGTCCAGAAACCGGCGCTCCCCAAATACCTCCAGGGCTTCCCCACAGCACACCACCACCATGGGCATCAGGGCGCGAATCTGCGGGCCAAACGAGTGAGTCGCATCGTGCCAGACGGCACCAGAAGAACCTGGGCCTCCGAGCCCAGATCATAAATCTGATCCAAGTGCGCACCTCTGGACAGTGTGACAGGTCCTGCACAGCACAGGTCTCAGGGTCTGATTTCCCAAGCCCCCCCGCCTTGAACAGGAGCAATCCAAGCCCAACTATCCACAGCACCTGGCAAGGGCACCCACATGGGAGGCTTCCCTTTGCTTTCCCTTGAGAACCAGCCCAAAAGGATCACCATCAGACCAAATACCCACAAATGAGGGGCCTCGGTTTTGTCCGACAACAAACAAAATCCGTCCAGCCCAAATGTGAAAGCCAGCCTGCCACTTCTAGCCAATCCAAGGCGCTAAAGATGTGGCCATGCTGCCCAGCATGGCAGCCGTCGCCCGGCTGATCGCCTCTGTCACCCTTCTCCGACTGCCAACGAGAAGCCAGGCGTCTGCGCGTCGCGCCTTGTTGAAGTCTTCCGATCTTCTCTGCAGGGCCTCGTTGGGCTCGGCATCGCCCCGGGCCTCACGCGCCGCGGATGCGAGCGCGCGTAAACGAACCGAGGCCGCAGCGCTCCGAAGGATGTACTTGTGCAGCTCGCGATCCTGAAGAACCTGCCACTGCTTGATACTGCTTGCACCATCGCGTGCCTTTAAGTATCCATGCCAGAAATTGACAAGTTGCTGGCTGTCTCTCAAAGCTTGTCGTGCATGTTTGCTTGCCCACGCTTTGCATGGAATGCAAATCACAGACTGCTGCGAATTCCCGAATGCACTCGCTGCAGTCTGTCCCACGTGAGCGGCACCGCTCAACCCCAAGAAATCTGGCTCAGCCAGATTTCAATCAGAGCAAGGACATAAAGCCAGCCCATGGCCACATTGATTTTCAACTATTGAAGCAACTGCATTGTTCCGTCAACATGTTGCCTGACAAAAACTTCAGGTCTGCCTGACCCAGTGCTGCACTGATTCTGGAAGCTCTCTCAAAGGATTCTGCAGCATAGCAGATTCGCTCTTATGGAGGTCTTCTACCTTATCAAAGCTGTCCCGTGTGTGGTTTGAAGGTTTCAAGAGAAAGCCATCAACGTAACAGTGTGCGCGAGTATCATGACTCAATCTCAGACCAGCCACCCATGTTTTGTACTCAGTGTCCACCTCGCTGTCACAAGGGTGGTACCGTTTCGCCACATCGTTGGAGACCCCACTGGCCTCAAAAGGGCAATGCGCTCAAAACCCAAGCCAGCGGACCTGGCGCTTTGCTGTGGCTGGCTCCAAAAATCCAAAGAGCCAAGGGAGAGTAAAGTGTTTTTCTTTCCAAGTCCGCGTCAGTGGCCAGGTCCGTCGATTGCCAAGGCACAGATGTGAAGCGGACCAGCTTGTAGCTCACCAGCCGGAAGAAGGCTGCACTCAGTGTCTCCTCCGAGTGCCCTGCTAGTGTACCTGAAAATGCACATCAAACGAGTCCTCCTTTCGCATGCCGTTCTTTTCGCGTTTCACTCCTCTCCCCAACATGTCAAAAGTCCGTTTGCCTTGCAGCCACTTGCCACTTGCCACTTGCGCCGTACTTGCGCCGCTTGCACCACGCTCGCACCGACGCCGAGGGGCCGTTGCCATCCGCCAGCCGCAGCAGCTCGTGCAGCACGGTGCTGAGGCTCCGCGTCTTCTTGCGCTGCCGGAAGAGCGCCAGCAGCAGAAGGTGCTCGCACTCGGCCAGTCCTATCAAAGAATTGAATTGGCAAATGCGCGGTTGCGAATTTCGAACTTTGACGCCTACCTCTCGCTCCTCGCAGGAAGAGGCGCCGGCGCTTGGCCTCTTCGCCAGGCTCGCGCTTTGGGCGCGACAGGGAGTTGCGCAGGAAGCCCACGACCGGCAAGCATTGCCTCAGGCCGGCAAGGCCTGGCATGTCACGGCGTGTCATGTTTCAGTCAAGTTGCCAAAGAAACCACGTGGGTTTCCGGCCCAGCTCGATATGCCTTACAGCTCACAGAGTCAAGTACAAGTACGGTGTGAAATTCGCGCAAATACCATCTTCAGCAGGGTCTCAAGGCGTCGCAGGAAAGCACGGGATGCAACGGAGAGGCACCCTCCCGTTTCGGACCGAGCCGCTCCACCCACTCTGGCAGTCTTGCTTGCAATGCTTCGCTTACTCGCTGATTGAACTCCGGGGCAAAGGAATCATCCGTTTGCTCGGGGAGGTGCAGCTTGCACTCCTAAGACCATCGAAACGTATCGTCCAAAGTTGCCAATTCTTTCTTTGCTCGCATGTGATCCAGAATGTTCCGACCAGAAACCTCCGCGCCAACACCAAATTGCAGAAGTGCAAGATCTTCTTGTCATGCCACTCACAGAACTCATACAGAACTCACGGTCATTGTCCGATTTGTTGAAAGTAAATGGATTTGGCTTGCAAATGGATGACTGAGGCTCCAAGAGCCGCAAGACCTCCTGGGCATCGCGGGGCAGAAAAGCGAAGACGTACTCCATCGAGAAGCGGGAGAGGATTCGCTTCCTTCGTGCACACATCCATCAAACATGTGTTTTACAAGGCAAGAAGGCAAACTGCGGGCAAAAGCAAACCTGTGCGACCAGCGCAGCCTTCCACCAAGCTTCTCCAGCTGGCAAGTCACATCAAACTTCTCTGACACTCCCACGATACAAAGCCGAACACCTCAGAAACAAGCACCTCACCCGCAACATGTCCGCTACTGCTTGGAACTTGCTACTGCCCATAGCCGATGAAACAAGGCGCTCAGATCCTGCGCGAGGTTGAAGAGGTTGTACAGCAAGGTCTGACGGGCCAGGCCACAGAAATGCTCAAAGCGGTCCAGCACAATGACCACCGCGCTCTCACGGCTGAAGCTCTCCTGTCGACACAAATCACTCTCCAACAGCCACTGCCTGGGATGGTGACGAATTCGCAAATCCGACTTCGTGACTTCTGTCAATCTACATTCACTATGCTTCACCAGTCATGGGTTGATGACAATTCTTGTCGACCCCTATGAAGCCGCTGCGCTGTTTCTGCCCACTCCTTAAGGATGCAACGGAACCACTCCATGGATCCCTCGAAAGATCCGTTTTGCAGGGTGGTCATCAGCTGTGCCGCGATCTGCTGCGCCAGGTGTCGCAGGCACTCGATGTTCGAGGCATAAGCATCCTGTCAGGCTTGAAGCATCCACTGGGGAAACGTCTGCAAGTGAAAGCAGCCCGTAGAGTGAAGATGGAACAGCTGCGAAAAGCAGCCAGCCACTGCTCAAGGCGAGTGTCGCCACGAGCACGTAGCGTGATGATGGAGTCGTTCTCCTATGAAAACTCCAAGGCACACAGCGTGTTTCAAAAAACAACGCAAAGTTGAGGCCGTCCTCACGAAGCTTCTGCAGGCACCAGTCTACAGCCTGCGTCTTGCCACTACCCGGCTCGCCCAGGACCAGCAGGGACTTGCTTTCCTCTGCTCGGAATTCAGTGACGCCCCAAAGTGGGCAAGTCACAAATCGCAAGTCCCAGTCCGAGCCACAGCAGCATCACCACCAAGCACACGCCGCATAGTCTGCAGAACCTGGCGACGGCACGAGGCTTGGGCGTTGGACTCAAAAGGACTCAGCACAGCTCCCGCGCCTTCTCGCAGAGAGGCATCTGCTCACAGAAAAGCGTGGCATCTGCCCAGCGCGCGCTGAGAAGCTTTTCTGCCTGCTGGAGCCTGTCCTGGTTCTTCGTCAGCCTCAGACTCCAGCTGACAACTCTCAAACGCGCGTCAGAAGTCCGGCTCACAGACATCTTGGTGCTTGAGGGGCCATGCTTCCAGCTGCCGCTGCCGCTGCTCCGGGGCAGCGCTCAGCGGCCGCAGCCTAGCACAAGCGCGGCTCAAACCAAGGCCGAAGGAAGAGAAGGAAAATAAAACATGACAAGAAAGCACACGAAGGCCAAAATGCTCGGGAGTGACACTGAGGCGGCCACCTCTTTTTTGGGGTTTGCACCTGCACCATCTGCGCCGTCACCATCGCTTGAGGCCCAACAGCTGGAGCGATCCGATGTGCGCGATGTGCACCATGCGATGTGGCCACTGGCACACCCTAAGCCATCGCCAGGCCTCGCGCTTGCTCCAGAGCCAAAGGCTGATGGCGTTGGAGGCCAAGCAAATCCCGCCGTCCAGGCCCATCCTCATCCGAGCTCACGACTCTTGCCCGCGTCACGGCTCTTTCTCCCCTCTGAGCTGCAGGCCACACGGCGGATCCGCAGGAGGTGTTCCTCGCGGATCCAAGGACCCAAGCGAAAGCCCTCTCCCAACCATTCCTGGCCTCCCCGCAACAACCAGCTCCGCCAGGGAGGGCAGAGCCAGCATCCCACCGTTGAGGACGTAGAACTGAGTCCCCAGTCTCAAGTTCCCCCAAGTCTCGTGTCATCGCTTTCGGATTTTTCACTCAGAAAGGTCCTGTGCCCCTTGCACCGCCTACGACCGTACCGGTATCCCACGATTCAGGAAGCCCAGCGAGCACAAGGTAGCTCCCACCTCTGCCACCGCTTCCCTCAAAGAGCTGTGCGCCTTGCACGGCCAAATGGATGGGATCCATGTTCCAACAGCCGAATCCTAGAGCCTTCCGAAGATGTAATGTCGGCTAGGTTGATGTGTGTTCCTTGCCTGTTGGAAAGCTTGTCAAGTCACTGAAAAACACTCGAAGGCCCAAGCGGCCTAACAGTCCCTGTCCCACTTGCATGACTCTGAGAGCGTGGATCCGCCTCGGCAAAACGCTGGGTATTGCCCTTGGTGATATCCAAGCCTTCCCTGGCAAAAAATCAGCTGACCGGTGGAACTCAAGCAGGCTCACGGTGGCTCATGGGTGGCTCGCAGTGGCTCGTCGCACCTCCGCCACTCGTAGATTCCGGCGGCCTCCTGCTGGGCCTAGCCCAAAGGTTAAGATTGTCCTCATAGCCGATGCTTCGAGCCAAGGGCCTTTGACTCACGTAGCGCGGGGTCATCTTCGTACCTCACTCAGCCACAATGGTCCATGTCAAAACCAAATGCGCGCACAACTTCCGCCCCAGGCGAGCTTGCAAGCCACCTACCTTGCCAAAATGAAGAAGGCAACGCTTCGTGCTGTGGGCAAGACTGCGCGGCCCAATCGTCCATGCTGAGGATGGGTAAACTCTATCTTTTCTCCCTGAAGTGCTTAGTACTCTGTCATGCCCTCATCCAAAATGAGGAACTGCTGCCTAAATTTCGGTGGACTGGCACAAAGCTTGAATAGAAATTGCCCTCTTGTGACTTGTCAGCTAGAGCCAAGCGGCTATGATACTTGCCTCCGCAAGAGCGCTTGCCAAATCCCAGGCCCCAGCGTTTGCTTGGTCGGCAGCGGTCACTTGCACCTAAAGGACATGACAATGACATCAAGCTGAACACGACAGTCCCAAAGCTGCGGCTCCATGAAAGCCTTCAGGGTCCCCGAGGAATGTCACCTGACGGGCGTTGGCAACGAACGCCCCTCACGTGAACTCATTCGAGCTGCCGCCTTGAAGGGTCCGTTCAAAAAGGCCAAGATCATCACGGTCCCCGACCTTGCCAGCTGCAAGCTGACGGACATATGTTCTTGCTCAGCTCTCAACAGCCTGTAAAAATGATATGATCCTCTGGAGGAATTGGGCAAATGCGCCGTTGACAATGCAATCCCGAGCCTTTGCAAGGTCCATCTTTTGGGAGGCGCGCGCCTGTCCTTCTCGAGTGCAGATGGGTTCCCTCCGATCGTCAAGTCTGACAAAGCCAGGCTCGGAGTGGGGACATATGCCATTGGCTGGAAACAAGCTTGACGCTTTGGAAAACCTTGGCCACGCAGACCGTTAAACTCGCATGCAGGGCCTGTTAGTGCACTGCTGACATTGGCTAATGCCATGTCAAGAAGAGAATGACTTGCTCCGTGAGCCATGCTTTGGCTCTTGTGAAAAGTATGAAACTTTCAACATGGAGCTGTATCACATCCTACCAGTCGGGTCTGGCACGCCGAATTCGTCGGTGACATGTAATCCACTGCATTCAGAGCTCGATGCGCCAAGATCCTCATTTCGCATTTCTCACGGAGATCGGTGAACTTGGCGTTCGCAACCCTTCTCGCTCTCGGTCTACTCAGGCCATGGCTATGACAGCGGTTTGTTCTGGGCTTCGAAGACGATTTGGTGGTTGTAGAAGACCTGCCCGAGCGGCGCCCAAGCGTCCGTGAGAGCTGAACCCACGGCTTGCCTTCATCCACTCGACTCTCCCAGGGGCACTCTTCATCTCGCCTAAGTGTGGAAGTGTGGTGCCCAAGAGGGGAGAAATGGGGAGAATCGCAATGAGTCAGGGCTACAAGAGGCCGAGCGGCAGTTGGGAGAGCTGTCATCGTTCCAGGACCTGAACATGATGCCACCGTTTGGCCTCAGGGAGATGGAGGCGCCCGACGTCTTGCCGAAAGGGCGAACATGAGGGGCAGCTGGAAACCGAGAGGCTCCATCACCATTTCGAAGACCATGCGGCCATCCTGCTGCCCTTTCAGCAGGTTCCTGAGCTTCGGGAAAGTTTGCTCTGAAACGAATCAAGCGAATTCGACGCAAAATTGCCAAGACTTGCCGAGACGCCCATGCACTTCAAAGGTCTCGCACTGCATAGGTGGCTCATGACCAGCAAGCTGTTGAAAGGCCTCCACTCAATGCACGTGGTTCAACTCGTCAACTCGGAATTGCAATGTGTTCGGACTCTTTTGATTGTCTTGCTGCTGAGCTTCATGACGCACTAGCGGCATGCTCTTCCGTATCCGTGCCTCTTCCTTGGCGTCGCAAATGCTGAAAGCATCCAAAGCTTGTTGTTTGTGTATCACTTCAGACCCCCTCCGGCCCGCAAAATCTTTAAGGTTTGCTGTGCGTGGCAAGCCCAAACCGGGACCGAGCGTCCAATGTACCAGGATACTTCTGCGCCCCAAACCAGATGGACAGCCTCTCAGGGCGCAACGAAGCAGCCCGAGGCCCGAGGCCCGAGGCCCGAGGTTCGAGATTCGAGGCCGGGCTCCCGGGTCCCGCGCTGTCCGGCGGCGTTGAAGAGCGGCGACGGATTGAACCCCGTGGTCTCGATGCATCGCTGCAGCGCAGGTCGAATCACCTTGCGAGCAAAAGCCAGGCATGGCGCAGACCAGCGAGGCATTCGCTGGGCACAGTGCACACCCTTGAACATCTTCCCAACTCGTGCCCCGGCACATTCATCTTCTTTGTGCCAGCCACGTTGATGACGATGGCTAAGCAGTTGGAGTGCCTCAGATTCTAGCTCCCGAAAAGAACGACTGGTTTTGCTCATATCTTTTCTAACGACTGCTCCCTCGAATGGACTTCTGGATCCATCTCAAGTTCGCAAACACACAGTCGCAACGCGCAGCAGAGCTGCTTTGGACGGCCGCCCGGCGGAACATTGAACAGCACGACCTCAAGGAATCGGTCAAACTGGCCGACTCGCCGCCGAGAAGTCCAGGCCTCGTCAGCACCTGTGTTCCACTCCATACCCAGAAGGACCATATCCCAAGGCTGGAAGCGCACCCGGTCCATGAAGCCTTGAAGCAAGCAGAAAACCGAGCAAACTGCAGAAGCGTTGACACCCGCGCCTGGCACCTGCCGCCTGAGCTCGATGAGCTGCACAATCTCTCCGTCTAGGAGGAAGAGGGCAGTGCCATCTTCGAGCGGAAAGCCTCAGCCAGAAGAACTAGTTGCATGAGTGAGCTGCGCGTGATGTTGCGCCACCATGGATGTAAAATCAGCGGCATCTATCCGATGCAAAACATGAATGTAGCATGCCCCACTGTACGACTCTATGTGAACATGCTTCAGGTCACGCAAGCCGGGCGTCTCCCATCTGCCGGGTTTGGAAGCGCCAGGAAGTCTTCCAGGTGCGACAGGGCAATGGGCACCTGAGCATCTCCCGCGAAAGGCGGGACGTATGTCACGTGGATCCGATACGACACGACCGGACCGGACCTGGCCATAGAGCTGATTCTCATCACCGGGCAGAGCTCGGAAGGAGCTGATGAAGGGGGTCTTGGCATGGAAGGGACACGCCTTAGGCCTCGTACGCGCAATAAGCTCAAATGGACTGACGGCACGGCTTCCAAGAGCACATTCAAACCGCTAGCTGCAACCAATGGCGCCTCTTGCAGCGGTTGCGCCGCTTGACCTGCCACACAAGGCGTCTCCAACCTGACACCTCTCAAATCTGTCCAATCACAAGTCCTAAGAAAGCTTGCGTAAGTGCGTCGAGCAGCATAGCCCTCAAGGCCAGAGCACGTGTAGCCAAACTGGAACATCAGGCACTTGGGAAAGCGCCCGAAGTCGATCGCGTCCGGGTTCGGCACGAAGTGGAAAGCCTAGGGCCGCAAGGGGCCAAAAGGGGGGAAAGGGGCAAAAGGGGCGACATAGCGATGGCATTTCCAAATCCAAGAGGCGGGATACAGCAGCTCCTGTGCGGCAACGGAAATGGGCATCCCCGAGTCCACCAGGCACTTGGTGTACATCACAGGACCTGCCCGTTGCCCCCGCTGCCCCCTCTGTCCCCGCTGCCCCCGCTGCCCCTGCCCATACGCAATCCAGCATTGCCGCTTGGCAGCCTGTGACTGCAAAGACCTCAATACGATTGCGGTTCTGGTAGAAGGTCCTTGGAATCGGCTGAATGACAACCTGCGCTCACAATGTCCATATCTCCGATGTGCCAAGGTTCTGCTTCAGGTACAGGATCAGCATCAGGATCAAGGGGTGGTGTGCAGTACATGCAATGACCTTGTTGCAAAGTCCGTTTAGCTTGCCTTGCAAATCAGAATCCAGTTCCTTCGAAAGTTATTGGGCTTGTTGGACCCCTTATGCATCTGCCCACATCGAAACATCTTCAGGATCTATGTGTGACAAGACTCAGAGTTCCCCAGGATGGAGTACGGCCTTAGGTCGACGCAGTCTGAACTGGTTGGCCCTGGCAAGTGAGACCTTCATGCCTCTCTGTCTCCGCCCCTCACGAGTGTAAGGACCCGGAGCTAAGATATGGGCTTGTCCTTCGTGTCAGGCTCATATGCTATAACAAAGCCAGTGTCCTGCGGCATTGATCGCAACATGTGAGGGGCGGACCTTTGCTTGGCCATAGTACCTCTTTTGACGAAATCGCTTTTGGGGGAGACCTTGGCGCTTCAGTGTTTCGCGCTTTGGCAGCTCCGCCTCGAAAGTCGCAACTGTTCAGTACAAGCGTAGTATGCGAGGTACACTCTGGCAGCTCCAAAGTCGCAACTTGTCCGCGCAAGTGTATATAAGAATAGCCCTCTTCTCTTTGTGCTTCTCGTTCTCCTTCGCTTTTCTCTCGCTCTCTCTCCCTCTCTTTCTGTTTCTCTTCTTTCTCTTCCGCCGTCTCTTTCTCCTTCCTAACGCTGCGTACGCGCCGTGCCGGCAACGAAATCTGCGCCTCATGTTGCACAAGCAGCGCTGCGCCTGTCACGAAATCTATGCCTGACGGTACACTTTGGCGGCTCCAGCTCGAAAGTCGTCACTGTTCACAGCAAGTGCAGTGCGCAAGTACACTTTGGCGGCCCAGATGGAAACGACTCCTTATCGCCTTACAACGGCCACGCAATGGTCCCAGCCAGACTAAGCCGCAATTGCAGGGGTTATGACACAGACCCATTTGAAGCAAGGGTTGTCGTTTGTGGGGGAGAACTCGTTGCTTTCCATGCTTTTGGCATGCTTTTGGCACCGTCCCCCCCCCTTTCGAAAGGGGACAATGCGTGCTTTGTCCGTGGCTCATGT